ATAACTAAAAAAAGAAGAAGAAAAAGTTGAAATTATTAGGATCATATAAAATGAATTAGAAATTAATGAGGGTTCAACCGGGAAAAGCAAAAGGTTAAAAGCAGCGAATTTATTATGATGGAGCATTAAATCCAGGAAACACAGGAACGTGCCCAATCTGCTTTTGCTTTATAAAAGGAAGGGAGAAGTCGAGAACAGGCCAGCAGCTTGCTTCACGCTTTTGAACAGTGAGAGCGAAAAAACGGGGGAAAAAAAACACAGAGCTAAGTTGAAAAAAAAAAATTAAGTGAAGAGAGAACCTTTTTTCCCCCGTCTCCAGTCTCCACTGCGTAACGTGACTTGGCACTGTTATTTTCTTTCTTTTTTTTGGGTATGCTCCGTCCACTCCTTAATTTAAATAATTAGTTCATAAATACTAAATAATTAGTTAAAATTAGTCATAAATAATAAATAGATTAAAAATAGACTTCTGTTTCTAAATAATTTTTTATAATAAATGCAAAAAAAAAAGAAAAAATGTGTGAAAAAATATAATAAGAAAGAAATATTCAATAGTGACATTGAAAACATACATTAAATGTTAAAAAAACTCAAATTAAAGCTTATAAAGTTGACCATATCCCTTTCTAAATTTGAAACTTATAAATAAAAATGAAAGAATTATGTGTGTGTGGGCATTTAAGAAAGGGAATATCCCAAAAAAAAATCACTTGAATATGAAAATTTCAAATCAGAAATTCATACTAAAATATATTATTATTTATTTTTCATTGTCAGTAAAATATAGAAAACAAGACTGATATGAAATTCTAAAATTTAAATAATACTTTTTGAAATTTTCGCTTTGAGAAGCATGGTGTAGGATAGTGACAAGTGCCTTACTCATATTTAGAAAATACTTATCATCTTCTGGTTGCATTCGTAAAGAAGGAAAAAAAGAAATTTTTTTTTTTTGGGGTTCTTAACACAGGGGGTCTCAGTAGTAAATTTATGGTATGAAATTAACGAGAGTCCTGAAAAAAAAAAAAAAAAAAAAAGAGAGAGGAGGAAACAGGATGTGGGGTAAGAATAAATATTGAAATGAGAGTGGGAGGAAGCCATAATGGAAGGGGACTGCTCATTAATGATGAGATTGGTTTCCTTTTAGTTGCAGTGGTTAGGTATTGGCCTTGTGGTTGAAGAAGGCCCTATATATCTGCAGCCTATTCCATTTACATTATTACTCTCAAATTATTATCTTATCCCCTCCCATTACTCCTCCTTCCTAAACCATAACTGCATCATAATATTTTCACCTTAATTTTGTTTTACACTAATTATAGTTGAAATATCAAAATCATATCCTCCGCCTGAAAGGTTATGGCTCATCTCATCCCTCGTACATCAGATAAAGTCCCACCTCTCCTCTCGCTATGTTTATTTTCTCTAAATCCAATATTTGTTTGCACTGTGTAGCTATACATTTATTTTATATTGATGACTTGGGAAAAAGTGTTTTATTTCTATAGCTCCAGTTTATATTTTCAACGGTTAAAAGCTTGTTTGGATTGTATTATAGAGATAATATTGGGAAAAAAATAGTTAATGATTCATATTATTTTATTTCATTGATACCTCGTTTTCTTTTCTTTTTATTTATTTATTTCAGTTCATCCTGTCACCATGTATTTTAAGGGGCCTTCAAGGTTCAAATTGTTCATATTAGTTTTTCAATAAATTAAATTAATCTTAAAAAATATATAAACTATTAGGGGGGCGGGTTAGACTTTAGAACTCTTGTTGACTTTTTCGAGTCCGTTCAGTTTAGGTTCCCATAACATCAAACTTAAATGATGAGAACAAATTGGTGAAGCAGCCACGAGTCTAGCCAAATAATTCTGACTTCCATAGTTTTCAGCAATTGCAGCTCCAAATTCACTAAATTAATGTGGAAAAATATAAACCGTTGTTTGATCAAAGGAAGAACAAAAATTGTAAGTACTCTTACTCTTGACATCGCTTTTTTTTTTCCCTGTATAAAAAATATATAGAACATCTCTCAATTTTGAGATCTCGTTTACTATTTTCTTAGAAAGTCTTCTCATTTGTTAAAACTCCAAATTGCCAACAAATCCATACTTCTCGCAGAACACTGATTGATGTATAAAATCAAGGGGAAAAATTTAAAAAAAAAAAAGAGTAAGCACAATGATATAAAATATCAGTAAAAGACGAAGAAAGTTTTTTTTTTTGGTAAAAAAAATTCCCTTCCCCCGACGGAAATAAATATAATTGGATAAGGGGAGATCACTTGCAAGAACAAGGAAGCTCGCTAGACATGTTTAATGACATCTAAAATTCTAATTTCAGAGTACACCAACAAAAAAAATTCTAATTTGAGAAATTACGCTAAATAAAACCATGTATAACCAGAAAATTATGGGCAATAGTAAATTATGAGAGCTTAATAAATTGTAGATAAAACAATTACAAATTACGAAGTCTTGGTAGATTAGACAACAAAAACTTGGTTTTCAAATAATTCATTGTTGAGATTTCATAATTTATAGATACTTTGCATACAATTTATAACTATTTTTTTTATATAGTTTGGTAGTACCATTACGTTAAACACATTGTTCTTGGGTTATAAATGATTTATCATTGAGTTATCAAAACTTATGTACATTGTCCAAATCCAAACCAAATTTCCATTATTTACAAATGCCATGTCTGTGATTGGATAGATTATTTTATAATGTTTTTCTTCTTTGAGAATTACTTTGTTTGACAAAGGAAATTACATAAAGGATGATTGAGGTCCACATCTTAGTATGATGTCGCCCAAGGAAAATGAAGTTTGGAGAGTAAGAAAACTGAGAGATTGGCAATTAGGGTCCAAAAAATGGGAGGAAATTTTGGGTCGAAATAATGGTTATCTTGGTCTAAATAATTTCGTGATCCAGTGACCTACAAGAAAAATTTTATCAATAAAAAACTGCAGACTCGATCCTATTTATAATTTCATGTAATTGGTGCATGCCTTTCAAATTAAAAAAATAATATGGAAAATCATTTTGAAGGAAGAAATGTAATTACCCAAAAATTACACAACAAGTAAACAACATACAACCAACAAACAGTTAGTTTAACAGTATAAGACCTTGCTAGATCTCTTCTGGTCTCGAGTTTAAATCCTAGAGGAGACATTTTTTATAGAAAAGAAAGCCACGGGTCTTGAACTGAATTAGTCAATTGTTCAGATACCTGGTAATAGGATTTAGAAAAAACATCAGATACTAAACGATAATATAAAAAAATACTCCCTCCGTTCCTTATTATAAGAGACATTTGATGCTTATGGCATGTTCTTATATATAAGAGACACTTACAAGTTGTCTCTACTTTTTTGTGTTGATTTACTATTTTACCCATATTTATTATCTCCAACTCACACTCTCTCTCCCTTCCACTTCTCTTTCTTTGAATAATTTAATTTTTCTCTCTCATACTCTCTCTCCTTATTAATGAGGGTATTTTTGGAAAAAAATTATACTTTTTACACATTAATTGTTCTTAACTAATTTTAACTGTTTTTTTGATCAACGTATTTCGGTTATTTGTCTCTTATAATAAGGAACGGAGGGAGTAAATAAAGTATTGGTACATGAAATGACAATCGATCCATGCTAGTAGTATTTATCTATTATGAGATTTTTTAATAATTACATTATTTTCTTGGTACCTCAGTAATTTTAACACAATAATAATGAGTTGGAGATAATGTAATGAAAATTGAGTGATGGGAGAAAAAGAGAAGAAGGAGGGTTGGGTCCGAAATAGAATAAAGCAAATAAGGCATTGTTGCCTTGTTGGTATTTTACTCTGCCCTCTGACGTACATGGTCCCAACATCTTAACCTAATAAGCACGCTTTCCTTTATTAGGCCACTCATTCATTTTTGAACTTCCATCCTCATTTCCATTTCTTTGACCATCCCTCAAGCATTCAAGAATGTTGCCAGTATGCAGAAAGCGGAGTCTCACAATTCAAACTTATAAAATTCATTGCCATTTTAAATATTTGAACATTTATCTTTTTAACTCGGAAACTTTCAATATTTATAAATTTTTTCCCTAAAATCTCTTGATGCTAGTAAAAAAAATAATTCGATCAATTCAAAATGATTCATTTATAATCAAATGGGTATAATTTGAATTTTTAACCCTCATATTGCATAACTTATTGTTTTTTTATATGCATAGATACTTATTTGAATTATGATCTCTCTGTGAATGAAGAAGGATCTTAGATTATTATTACTTTTGATTTAAATTATAAGACCTCATTTACAGACTATAAATAAGATTTTATAATTAGGAGCAGAGATAGTAATATTAAACAATATAGTTTCAAAGCTTTTTTTTGAGTACCGTTAAGGGCTTCCCCCAATTTGGTACATGTTTGGAAGCAGAAATTTCCAAATCATAATCTTAAAAATTTAAGCCTAAATAATTAAAAAAGAATAGGAAACATATTATTTTAAAAAAAAAAAAAAACTCAATACTAGCACGTCATTTCTCTTCTCTTTTTCCTTCTCATTGGATCAAATTTTCCACGAACAGTTGACGCGGATACGGTCCCTTTTATTGATATCTCCGTATCACGCGTTTGAACAGAACCATCTTCGAATTTTAAATTCAAACAAAGTGGAAATATTAAAAACACATTCAGACCCATTAGTCAAGATCACAACAACCCAATGCCAAGTGCGTAACGAATATTTAAACATCTCAACTAAAAAATGAGAGGGAGAGCCGGAAAAATTTTCTTAAAAAAAAGAAAAAAAAACCTCTGACGAGATCACGCGGCACACGCGCTTTTCAATTAGTCGTAATTGCCATTCCATTTCCCCTCCCGGCCAATTCCCCCGCTTGCACTGTTTCCTATTCTACTTGGCTTGGCTTAGCAATGGCACACACAGTCACAAACAAACAAAGCTCATAATTAATGGCTTTCAAAACAAATTAGAAATCCAAAGTCCAAACAAAAACAGAGAATAAAAGGTCAGAAATCCAAAATGCCACTATCTTGATTTTGTGTTAAAATTTTCGTTTCTTCTCAAAAAGCCAGCATATAACAATTACACATTTCCATCTTTCCGTTGATTTCGCTCTTCTGTTTCCGGTTCAAACAAATCCCATTCAGCTTCATCTCCCGCAATTGCCGCTACAGAGGACGAAAACAAGCCAGAAAGCGAAAGAAAGCACTATAGAACATTCCAAATTTCCAATGCTTGCTCAATACGTAGTATAAAAACTCATTTCCTTCTACTGTTGTAATCTTGCTCTGCAATTTTCAAACCAGCTGACTTGAGTCTGGAAGCGGCAGTCCCAGAATCTGAACGGATCTGGGCGGAACTCAGGTTCGTGCCTGGAAGTCGTCGCTGATCATATGCCTCTGCACTGCGGTGGCTGGTGACGCTGATTAATGGGTTGTGTGAATGCGAAGCAGGCGGTGTCGGTGACGCCTGCTATTGACCACTCCGGCGTGTTTCGTGGCAATGCTGGTACGGGTAATTCGGGAAGGAATTTAGGTGAGTCAGACAAGAAGAAGAAGAGCGAGTCAGTGGGGCTGAGTAGAAGCGAGGTGGGTGAGTCGGGAAGGGCGAGTTCAAATGGAGGTTGTGAGTCGTATAGTTTCAGATTGGGGAATCTGCAAAAGTATGTAGAAGGAGAGCAAGTAGCTGCGGGTTGGCCGGGTTGGCTTACCGCCGTCGCCGGTGAAGCCATTCAGGGTTGGGTGCCCCTCCGAGCTGATGCGTTTGAGAAACTTGAGAAGGTTGATTTGTTAATCCTATTCGCAATTCTGAGTTCGCTTCTGTTCTTTTTGTGGGTAGCGTTCTCAGATAAAATTTTATCCATAGAGTTTTTGTCTAGTAGTTGATTCGGAATATCCCCTTGTGGACTGTACGAAATAATTTTCAAGGATTCAATTTCTCAAGCTTGTCTGTATAATACTTCTCTTGTTATTTTCCAATACATCCACTTTTCTGTCCTGGTAAAGTAGAGAAAGAAGCTTCTGTGTTATGTATAAGAGGAATCACATTTACTGGTGTCGGAAAGTTAGGAGATTCGGCGGCGTCGTTATTGCACCTGTTATCGAAAAGGGAAAAATGATCATATGTCTACAAGAAATTGTTGTTTTGTGTAGATTTTTATGGATATAGATATACAATTAGTAAAGATGACTCCTCAGAATCAGTGTTAACTGAAAGAGTTATAGCCGACGGCTGATGAGGCTTTCTATGGTAAACTCCAGCAAAACTAAAGGATTTGCTTCCGTCATCTAAAGTTTGCTTCGATTTCTATTCAGACAATTGCATACTGTGTAACTGCTGGTTCTGCTACTTTTACTCATTTTTCTGACATTCATTGCATTTGCAAATTGCATGAATAGATCGGTCAAGGAACATACAGCAGTGTCTTCCGAGCGCGAGAACTTGAGACGGGGAAGATAGTAGCTCTGAAGAAGGTGCGGTTTGACAACTTTGAGCCGGAAAGCGTTCGGTTCATGGCTCGAGAAATTATGATTCTTAGAAGGCTTGATCATCCAAACATTATAAAATTGGAGGGCTTGATTACTTCAAAATTGTCCTGTAGCATATACCTTGTATTCGAGTATATGGAACATGACATTACGGGGCTCTTATCTTCCCCTGATATCAAGTTTAGTGAACCGCAGGTATGCCAACTTTCCGATATTATTCACCTGGAAATTCTATGGATGTGTCCGGAGACAAAAGGACTTCCTTATGTGTTTCTTTATTTATCATACATCATGTGAAGGATCAAGTGATCGTGACGTATTTACCATAAGCACATGGCCAACAAAATAAAAACGAAAATTATAAATGGAAAATTATGATTCAATCCTTTTGTTGCCTTATCTTATTGAACATGTCGTTTTGTCGGTACAGATTAAGTGCTACATGAAGCAGTTGTTATCTGGACTTGACCATTGTCATTCACGGGGTGTAATGCACCGTGACATCAAGGGATCTAATCTTCTAGTGAATAATGAAGGGATCCTAAAGGTGGCTGATTTTGGACTGGCGAACTTCTCAAATGCTGGGCACAGACAGCCCCTTACTAGCCGTGTAGTTACATTGTGGTACCGTCCTCCTGAACTTTTACTAGGTTCAACTGACTATGGTCCTTCTGTGGATCTCTGGAGCATCGGATGTGTGTTTGCTGAACTACTTGTTGGGAAGCCTATCCTTCAGGGGAGAACAGAGGTAGTGACATTTTCAATATGTCTGGGTTATTTACTCTCTTTTATTACTATATGTGATGATTCTGATCAGACTCCCCCTTCCACCCAACGACGAATCTTAGTGTTATTGTCCGGGAAGTTGTTGCAGTTCATACTTAACCCATCGCATATCAATACTCTTGCTTTGGTTGTGATGGTGTGCCTCTAATTTCACTTATGACATGGAATTGGATACAGAGGAAAAAAGAGTTATGCTAAAGATGGTAATAATTATTTGCTTTATCTTGTATTAAAAAAAGTAACAAATCCCAGGATCCCTTCTTTGAAGTTATTTAGATGAATCAGCTGATGGTCAATGATAAATAAAAAAAATTCCATGTTATGTTTTATTTTTTTCTGTCATTGCCATGCTCGATTCACTCTTATTTTTACATGTAGGTTGAACAATTGCACAAAATCTTTAAGCTTTGTGGCTCTCCACCTGAAGAATACTGGAAAAAGTCTAGACTCCCTCATGCAACGTTGTTTAGGCCACAGCAACCGTATAATAGTTGTCTCAGAGAGACTTTTAAAGATTTGCCTTCAACTAGTGTGAACTTGCTACAGACTCTTCTTTCCATCGAACCATACAAACGTGGAACTGCCTCTTCTGCTCTCTCATCACAGGTAGCTTAACCTGCAACTTCGTTGGCAGTTCTCGAAATGCGTTCGTTTGACATAATAGTTGGCATGGGAAACAAATACTGTCTTCAAATCATATGCACTGCAGAGCACAAGTTCTCTCTCTCTCTCTCTAATTTCTTACCTACCATTTTATTTTTGATCGTACATTCTGAGCATTGTGTTTTCATGCATCCTAGAATGCTATAATGTCAAATTCTTTCTCACATTGATTATGGAACAAATTCCTTCATCACGCTTACAAGCTCTGACTTTATGAAGCATTGACCCTGAATTTGGAGTATTCTAGCCTGATAAAATTATCATATTATTCAGTATTTCAAAACAAAGCCGTATGCTTGTGAACCATCAAGCTTGCCGGTATACCCACCTAGCAAGGAGATTGATGTGAAACAGCGGGAGGAGTCAAGGAGGTGAGATCTCATCCTCTTCGTATGTTCTATAAATAGTTATGGGAAACGAGAGGTTTATTTGGGTATGTATCAGCATGTGCTTTTAGCACTTGATGACCTCCTAGATGGTACGGTCAATCCAAGAGAGTATCTGCATGTACAGTCATTTGATATAGTACCTGGCATGACTCTATAAACTGCTGTATCAGAATAGCTACGAAGAAGTCTCCATTTAGTCTAGTTCTTGACGTTAGAATCGCTGGTATAATGGGTAGATTAGATTAGATCATTTCTTTTGTCTTATGTCATATGAATGTAAATATTTGAGCAGTAAATATCTTATGCAATCATTGAATTAAATCCGCTACTGCAAATATAAATTTATGCATTTGGTAGATGATGATGAAAAAGCTATGTTCTTCTCAAAATAACACAAAGTAACGGACAGTTTCAGTTCCGAGGCTGGAGCATTCGATAGTTTTACTTCTCTCTCCCTCTCCCTCTTGGAAGGGGTTTGTTTTGGGGAGATTTACCATCTAAGATTGTGAAGTTGACATGTAGTAGAACTTTCCTAGTTTTTATTCTATGCAGTTTCAATTACATTAGCATAGTCTGCTTGTCAGCTCTTATTTAAACAACTGCAATGAACTTGTAGGAAAAAGATTGGTGGAAGAGCGCGTGGACCTGAAACGAGAAAACCATCAAGGAAGCCACTAGGATTCAACAAATTAGTCCCAACAGAGGTCTATTCTACTCTCTCTCTTGCTTCATTGTGTTTCATCTCATATACGTGCACTATAATCCATGTGAAGGGTCTGGTTGCCCCTGGGAAAGTAAATTCTCATCGAATGTTTTAATGTCCTCTTACAGGATTTAGCAAGTCAAACCCAGAAGTTCCAAAGGGTAAATGGCAGGTCAGTCCACATCCTCAAGGAAGGGAGCACCAATGTAAGTAAGGAGGAAATAAAGCCATCTAGTGGCGAACCAGATGATGCTTCCCATACGAAAAATGCATCTCAAGGAGATATTCCCTTTTCTGGGCCTTTGCAAGTTTCCACATCAAGTGGCTTTGCATGGGCAAAAAGACGTAAAGATGACATTTCAATAAGATCCCACTGCCGATCTATTTCAAGGGGGCATATTGTCAATCCATTGGAGTCTGCTGTACCAAATTCGGTGAATAACTTTGATTCCAGAAACATGGAAAATAAGGATTGTCTGGGACGCTCCAACTCTCGGAATCATGATCCATTTGAAATCCCCAAGCTTGCCATGCAAAATCAATGGAGCAAGTTTGATCGCCCAGATTCTTTTGATGCTTCTGACGAATACCACTCGCAGGAGCTATCTATGGCACTTTACCATAGAGAGGATTCAGTATCCAAGAGAAGTAACCTGGTAAGTTAAGCAGAAGCCGGATCACATTGATATATGAAATTCGTGTGCCTCTTTTCTGCAGATTATTCTGTCCCCCATTTAAAGATAGGGTATCTTGTGTTTCCATGAAAAATTTTCGAAGTGATATGTTAAGGTATAATTTTTGAAATTTAAAACCAAAAGAAAGCCTAAATTTATTGAAATAAATTTATTGTTTGAGACACGTGAATGACTTGATTTCTTGCTAACATGAGAATAAGTAAATGATCTCCTTCTTGGATAGTTAAGTGGCTAGTTAATGTCTTGACTGTTAACTGGACAACGGAAGAAGGCAATAGTAAAGAAAATGAATTTATTTGAGGATTGTTGATCATATTTTCTTTTGAAACCAAATTTTAACTTGTTTATTTAGCATTGTAAATGGATGAAAATGAGCATTTATTGACGTTAGAAATTTTACTTACAATCGGTACGTGGTCAACTCGTTAGATGTGAATCCGAACTGAAATTTATACACGTCCTTACATATAAATTCTTATTCACCGCCTGCCTTGTAGAGTTATCAGGACCAAGGAGAGAAGGTTGAGTTTTCAGGACCGCTGCTATCTCAAATGCATACTGTTGATGAGCTCTTGGAAAAACATGAACGCCACATCCGCCGAACAGTCCGAAAAACCTGGTTTCAAAGAGGTGGGACAGCTAAATGAAGTAGCAATAGCCTTCACTTCCTCCACCCCCACAATGATTAAAAGAACAAAAAATTGCACAATTGGTTGGTTTTCAAAAATTATAATAGATATATCTACATTTGTTTTGTACTTATTGTTCCTAAATATCTTGTGAAAAACTACGAATCAAAAGCTAGTTGTCTGAAAACTCCACATGGATTGGACTAAGGCTATAAATTCTTAGATGGTGCCACAACGTGAAACACCAACTTTAATGAATCTTCGTTGGCTTATTTTACAACCTACTGATATGTTATGTGTATCTAAGAATTCTTCTTAATAATGCTACATTTCTTCCTGACGTTATCTGTGGATTGCAGGTAAGAAGCAAGGGAAGCAAGTATAATGTTAATCACTTTTACTGAGGAAGGAAGTGGGCCAATTGCTTTGAGGAAGGAAAAGGAGAACACACATCCCTCCCCAACCCAGAAAAAGACTCTCCTCTTCCCGTTGCACATCATATCAGATGGCACAAGAAATCTCTTTCCTGTAAGAGAAGACCATCTCTCCATTCTCCAATCACATGGCTATGCGCAACAAATAAACTGCAGAATTGACGAAGAGGCGGTTATCCGGCGGCATAATTAGCGCCTTGAGCCTTCAATTCGTCATTTGTACAACCTGAAACCGGGGGTCAAAATGGAAGAGAAAGGTTTTTGGCTATGGAAATATTATTCTTCTGATTTTTGGTCCGTTTTCCTGTATGATCGAAACCGCGTTCCTGACTTGCCTCTATTGACTTCACCATCTACTTGCAACTTTCATCCGGCAATGTATATATGGATCTGCCGTGACTGGATTGAGCTTTTGGAAGAAATCAATCTACTATTTAACCCAACGGCCACGGTATTCTTAAGAAATTTTGTTTTCGACAGTTTTATTGCCGTTGGTGAGGAGGTTAGAGTAAATCTATTTTTTTTCTTTTTCTTTTTCTTTGAGAACAATTATATGAGAGCATATGAAACTCTGCTGCTTTTTCTTGCTTCCTAATGCAACAGCCCTCACCTAAAAGTAATGATAGATAATATATGAGATCAATCATGTTATAATTTAGAAATTATACTCTTATAATGTTTTCATTAATAATTCTGAGGAAAAAAATTTAAAAAAAAACATATAAATGTATCATGAAATAAAATATCATGAATATGATCATCTCCGTGTGCAAAAAATAATATTGATAGTATTTCTATCAATAAGTTAGTCCATTGTATGTGTAATTATTCTGGTTTCTAGTTTTTGCATTTAATAGGAGCATAGAATTTTTGTCGTTTTGGTCTAAAACTAAACAAGTGCCTCCTAAAATAACGTTGTAACAATTTTAAATATAAATTATTTATCCAGTGCTTAATATAAGAGTTATTTAACTAAATTGAATAAATTAAATAAACTAGGTAGATTATTTAATTATAACTAATATGATCCAATCTTTCCAAAATACTTTTGCATAACCTTAGATTATATACCACTTTATAACTTAAGCAAATTAACTTGGAAAAAAAAATATCAAAGATAAAATTGGTTTGAGGTTTTTTATTTAAGACAAATACCAGCCTCCTAATGAACTCTTATAATTAGAATCAGATGAGTAAAATATAAAAATAAATTAAAATATACATAAAAATTTCAAGTTATCATAGTTTTAAAATATAATAAATTTTTAAAGTATTAACGTTGACTTTGCTTTATATGTGAATTCACTTGTTATGTTTATTCTTGTTACGCCTTTATGCAAATTGCATGAAATTCAATGAAAGTTGTATTGTTGTATTTGTAAAAAATAAATTATAAATAGTACAATTTATGTTTACTTTTATGACCAAAAAATTACTATTTTTTATTAGAAAACTTGCATTGAATGAGTTACATGTTGCAAAAGAAACTAATGGAGATGCGGGGAAATGAACCCATACATGTAAACGAGTATATCTCCGTATTGAATGAGTTTTATATTTAAATACGTGCAAAATATTTTAATCTCTCTTATATTTTATTGACAAGATCAAACTAAGAAAATAATTACTACTACCTCCGATCCTAATTTTAAGAGTTAGTTGACTAATTTGAAAAGATTAAAGAAATAAATTAAGTTAGTTATTTGTAATAAATAGGTATTGTTTTTCCTAAAATATTCTTATTAATCAAATTTATTAGCTAGAATTTTTATTATTAGAATGACTATCTTGAAAAAAATACAAAAATATAAAAGACAAAGTGGATTAGAGTATTATAATTAGAACCAAAATAAAAATCAAATAAGATTTTATATTAAGAATAGGAGGTAGTATTTCTTAGCTAGCAAAACAAAACTCAAACTTTTCGTATGTGTCCTTATGAGAAAGACTGGCCATTTATGTGGTTAGATGACGCCTGATGCATGATGCATATAATCAAGAAGGTTAGAAAATATGAATGGAGATGGCAGAGCAAGCCAATCCGACTGGTGCGTTGAGATGGGAGATGTCGGTGTGTAAGGGATGGAGTTGAGTCTCCCTTTATGGCGTTCTTATGCCTCTTAGAACGAGGAGAAATACTGACACATTCCTAGAATATCAGTTAATCTGAATTCTGGCCAATAGAAATTTTCCAACTCAAATAATTTTGATCAACGTGTGAATCTAATCATTCCCATTAATTTGCTGGTTTTCCAAAAATAAAAGTTCTCGAATCTGGTGATTTCCATTATTGCCCGTCTTCTCTCTCTCTCTCAATGCCTCTCTCAGCTCTCTCCCCTGCCCCTTCATCTGTCCGTTTTCTTATGTACAGGGGGCAACCGCCGCAGCATCTCTCGTTAGCGGCTGTGGCGGCGGCGGCATCTCCCGCCTTCGACAGTGGCGGTGACGATGTAGATCTGAGCCCATTCATAGAAATTCGTTTTGCTCCTTGTTTATTTTTCAACACTGAACTTGAGCCTTCATTTCCGATGTCTTCAGGGATCCCACCTTCTGTTTCTGATATCAAACTCCAGCGAAGTCCCGACCATTTCAGACGATGGCGATGTAAAGTCCATTCCTTTTATTGACATGCCTTGAACAGTGTAGCCTGGGCTTGAGGGTGGAAAATGAGGTAGGGAATGCCAGTAGCAATAGCAAGAAGGAGGATGAAGAGGAAGATGAGAGCAAGGCGGCGGCGGACGCAAGGTCCGCTTGGAGTTTGTAGGTGAGGTTGTTTTGGCATGCATGAGCGTGCCGGTGAACTCATGAGGCCACTGAGAAACAAGATTTTCAGAAACCAAGGAAGGATAGGGAGGGTGAGTGTCGCCGCCGGTGGGGGATGCTGCTGGACATCTGAGAAATAAACGAGGACATGAAGGGAGAGGGGGAAGTACAGGTTTAAGGGGCATTTAAGGTTACCCCGTTTATAATATTTAGTTTTTTTGTTTTTTTGTTTCTTTTGGGGTTGAATATTGTTATGAGTACTGTGCCTTTTCATCCAAAAAACAAAACAAAAAGTTAAGTGGCCAAGGTTCAAAGAGTTCATATTTGTTATTCAATAAAATAAATTAGTCTTATAAACACAGACACTCCCCTTGTTGACTTTTCCGAATCTGTTCGGTTTGGGTTCCCAGTTCCTACAGCATCAAACTTCAAAGATGAGAACAAGCTGATGAAGTAGCCGCAAGTCTAGCCAAATAATTTTGACTTTCATGATTTTCACCAATTGTAGTTGCAGCTACAAAACCCACTAAAATAATGTGGGAAAAATATAACGTTGTTTGATTAACTCCGTGGCTCCATTTGGTGTCAACTCCTTATTTATTGCAGTTTTCATTCCAACTTTGTAGGGCTTTGCGGAGTCAGAAGTGATGTCCCCCATCTCAAAATGTGTGAAGATTGCTCAGAAAATTTGTAGCTGCCAGCGTCCTCGACGATGGAAGACGGTGAACACGAGCTCACCCTTCGCCCTCCTCTCATGGTCATGGGGCCCATAAGCTCAAACAGAAATTAAAAATTAAAAATAAAAATAAAACTAAAGCTGAAGGGAAGGAAGTAAAAAGAAATTAAATGGAAAGAAATAAAATAATATAAAATAGAATAACTTAACACATGTTTAATATTTAAAATTATTTTAAAGTTACACTTAACTATTTTTATTATTTACATTAAAATATTCTACTCAATTCTCAAAATTAAGTTTTTAATTAGCTCTTATAAATTATTTAAAATTATGATAACTACCCTTTAGTTATACCCAAAATATTCTTTAAATATATGAAACATGGAGACTTATTATTAAAAACAAACAAGTCGTTTGACCCCTTCAAGTATTAAAAATAGGTGAGTTTAATTAGTTTTTTTTGCAATACACAATTTTTCTGGCCAAAGCAATCCACAACTCATTCAATGTTACTTTGAAAATAAATAGTATTTTTTGCCATAAAAGTAAATAATAAATTATACTATTTATATCTTTTGTATAATTCACCACAATGTAGTTTTCATTGGATCTCACGCAATGTGCATAAACGGGTAGCAAGAATAATTGTAACAAATCAATTCACATTTGACGCAGAGCCACTATTAATATGTTAAATAATTTATTATAGCTGTAAACTATGACAACTTGAATCTTTTTATTTATACTTTTATTTATTTTTATATTATACTCCAGTTCTATTTGTAAAACCTTATTAGTGGTTCGTATATGTCCTAAATATAAAATTTAAATTAATTTTATATCTGATATTTATTATTTTTTAACGTTAATTTACTTAACTTATAGAGGTATATAATTTAATATTATACAAGGTTATTTTAAAAAAATTGAATCACATTTGTTATGATTAAGTAATCTATTCGACTTACTTATATTTGATTGGATGAAAATTAGTTACATAGTTTTTATATTTAAGATTGGATTAATAACATATATTTGAAGTTGTTAAAGTGGTATTTTAGGAAGTATTGTCGCAATGGATTTAAGGATTAGTTGGAAAAATCATAGAAGAGGTAAATTTTAGGAGTCAATTTATTTTTATTACTTATATTTATTATTTTTTAATTGTTACCCATTATTGTGCAGTTGTTGACACTTGTGATAAGTTATAGGGAATAGGTAGTGGCCTAGTAACTACAAAGGCTGGATATGTGTACCATTTCAAAGAAGCATTTAGCTATTTTTGATGAGTGGTTAAAATACATCAATCATTGCTTAAGGAAAAAACATATCAATGTTATTATATACTAAGCAACACTACCCAATCAATCAAGTTTGAGACAAAACTTATACATTTAGTTGTTGAAATTATCCTAATAGGATTGGATGAAAATGAGATGTCAAGTCTTTATGGATATGCACCTCACAGGAAAAAAAAAAGAATGGTATTAGAAGAGGATTATTTAATATCGATAAAGTGATGTGAAATTTATTAGATGCAAATTGAAAAAAAATATGAGTTAATTTAACTGTTTCAATAAGTGGTTAAAGGTATATCAATTTCCATTAGAAAAAAAACAGATCAACTTTATAATATATTAAGTAATAGTAATTTATATGATCGAGTTTGCGATAAAATTTATATATTCAGTTGCTAAAAACCATCCTAATAAAATGGGATAATAATGGGCTATAAAGGTTTTATGTGATATACAATTTGCAAAAGAAACAAAATAATATCAATAAAGAATTATCTGATATTAGTAAAATGGTTTGAAATTCGCTAAATGCAAGTTTAAAAAATATTAGTTAATTTTTTATACATAAATTTATATTAAATCTCAAATAGCTCTGCTATCAAGTTGTACAATTCACACATAATCCACAGGATCAAAATTTGACTCTGATACCGATTTGTAAAATTTTCTTATTATTTTTTGGTATAACAAAATTTGCTCAATT